AAAACAGTGAGGGTCAGACTGCAAAACCCTTACTCATGCTGAGTAGTAACTTACTTCACAAATAGCCCCACTGACTTCAAGCAGACTACTCGTGGTGGAAAGTACTATTCAATACAAGTGAACTGGACCATGTCTTGATTTTTAAAATCATATTTAAGTCAGTTAATGGAGACTAATATTTATTTAATTCAAGATAAACTATACCACAGATTCCTTTTGTTCTGGGAAACCATGTTGGAGTTTTATGTCATGAATTTCTGCTTTATGGTCTGGTTTATTTACCTTTTCAATCAGAGAGCCTTATTCTGCTCTCTCGACAGAACAACAAAAGTTAGATTGCATTTATAAACTTCCCTAATACATTGCTATATAGGTAGGTGCTGAAAGAGAAGCACCCTCTCTATATTTACTGACTGATGACTAACCAGCATTTAGCAAAGATAACAACAGATAAATCTGGAAAACAGTTAAGAAATACTGTAGAACACTTTTAAGGTTGTACATATAGACTCTGAAGTGGCATCTTTGGGTAAGTCTACACTGCAAAAAACAACCATGGCAGTGAGTGTCAGAGTCTGGGTCTACAGACTTGAGCTCAAGGGGTTTGCACTAAGGTGCTAAAGATAGTAGTGCAGATGTTCTCGCCCAGGCTCTGAAGCCTAGGGAAGAGGGGGAGTTTCAGAGCCCAAGCAGGAATGTCTACATGGATATTTTAAGCGCTGTAGCACAAGCCCGAGTCTGTAGGACACTGAGTCTCAGCCCAGGCAAGGATGATTTTTTGCTGTGTAGTTGTGCCCTTATAGTCTTGCTAATCACAAATATCAGTGCTTGAAAAAGTAGTGAATAATCTTAGCCTCAGAGTCCTCAAAACTTTCAGAAGTCTCCCTACTGAAGTTAAACACAAAAAAATCTAGCTAGGCATTATTATTGCCCCCCATCTCTGTAATATCGTGATTCTAGTGAAAAGTCTATTGTCTAAGACTTTCAAACCACCAGATAATATTGTTGTGAATTTGTGTTAGAAATTGTATTTTTGTTTCAAAAACAGTAGATGTAATGACCTATTTTCCCCACAATATTAGCTCCCTCTCTAAAAAAAGATCAACAAATTTCGATAGTCTTTGTATTATTTTACTTTGCTTAAAAGAGAAAGATGCTTTAAAGGAATCTAACAGTATCCAGTTTCTAGCCACTCATACAGCAAGAAACAAAACAGAACTCAATTCAACAAATATTTGGTGGCTTCAGCCTTTTCATAGAAAGTCCCCTTTTTACTGGTTTCTTATTAAACAACTGAGTTCCCAAACACCTACAAAATTAATTTTCTGGATCACTGTGCCTGAGCTATTCTTTTCAATAAATGAAGCCCAGCTTTCTGATCTTTGTCACTTCACTGACAGTTTTATTTGTGGTAGAGGAGTGTATGAAATTCTCCAGCTACCAGGAAGTCAGTGACTATGCACAGATCTGCACAATAGCGTTTGCATTCCTACTCCAGGGGGTAGAAATACTGCGTATATTGCTCTCCCCTTTCTAGCTTCCTAGAGATCATTAATCACTGGGACATGACGTCCACCCACTCAGACTCCCAGCCCCCTCCTGATATGCAAATTCAAAAGCAAAGGACTATTTAGCATGGCTGAATGCCTTGATTAAAACCTTGTTAGTGGGCAAAAATGACACTTGCTCTAATATGTGGTGCTCTAAGCTTCTCATATTCAAGTGTTAAGCAACGATATTACAGAATTGCACTAATAGCAACAATAATATAGGTACTAAGTTAGTTAAGGTATGGTCTATAGAAAAACTTTCACTTATTGGTAAAAAATAAAAAAATCAAATTGTAGTTAGCGCTTATGATGAGGGAGCAAATCAAACCATATTTCAGGGCATGCATCCAACATTTGATGTTAGTATAAAATAAGTTTATTTTGAGCTCAAGGGCTCCTTAACAGACTGTCCAAATCCTGCATTTGGACACTAAAAAACAGCATTTAGAGATGTAAGATTCAAACTTACATGCCGACAGTAGGTACTGATCTAAGCATCCAAATGTGGGATTTACACATCCTTTTAAAAATAACCACTGTTGAAAAGTGGGACTCTCAGTTGAAAGTGTTGTTTATAGTCTGAAAAGTGACTATAAAAATGTTTGTGCCTCAAAGATGCATACAAAATGTGCTCAATTTTCAAGTACAGAGATACTTTTTTGTAACTGCCAGCCCTTCAGCCTCCATCTGAAATCTGGATTCTAAAAGTCAAGCTGTATTCTGTCTGGTTTGTGCCTCATCTCCAGCAATAAAGATTCTACAATTAGAGTCTATAGTAGTTCAGAGTTCTGTTGCTGAAACATAAACCTGAAAATAATCCAGCTCATACTTTTTTTATACCTAAACTGGCTCAGCAGTGCTATCAGAAGTTAAAGAGGAGTAACACACACACAGATCTGGAAAGTAACATTTGTGTTTACTTACAACTACACCCATAGGGGGGGACTAATAGAGTATTCAAGCCCCCAGAGGTTTATAAGGGGAATCCCCCTGGGCTAAAGTCACCCCATTCAAAAATTGCCTTATTACATACGAAGAAGTTATATTAGACAAATATTTGAGTTAGGATATGCCACATTCATGGTTTCTTATGAAGTCTTAATTTTGTCCCCTTGTGTGTCCCAGTCTGTGCACTGAATGAGATGGGGGAAGAAGCATGTAATCATATAAAGACTGTATCATAATGCATATGTACAAGGGGACAGAACTGATGTCCTGCAGGCAGTCTTAAGTGTGGTATTTCCAGACTTTCTAGTGCCTGACTTTGCAACCTAAATAATGTTCTTTTAACAGGTTTTTTGTATGCAATTTCCTAGGTTGTGGAGGTGTTCCCCCCCCCCCCCAGACAAATGCTTTTATATACACAACTGTTAACAATCACCTCCTCCCCTCATCACACATAATCAGCAAGATTTGGTCAGTACTACAGTACAATTTTCTATCACTTAAGCTACAGGACTAGCTACCTTAACTGGCAACAGAAGAAGGCTGTTATCTCAGAGAGACGGGGATAAGCTACTGCAGCCACATGCTTGGTCTGTCAGATGATATGGGGAACCTAGTCTGGAAGCTGGAGGAGCTCCTGGCATGTTGTGGTGTACCCAGAGGGGAGTATAGGCCACTAAGGCCTGGTCTACACTACGACTTTAATTCGGATTTATCAGCTTTAATTCGAATTAA